TGTGATCAAGATGGTGGATCTATATTGATAGAAAACAACAAAGCTTGCAAGATTGCAGGTGTTGGATCTGTGAGATTCAAGCTCCATGATGAGTCAATAAAGTTGTTGACTGAAGTCAGGTATGTACCTGATTTGAAGAGAAATCTGATTTCTCTTGATGAATTTGACAAGAAAGGATATGTTTTCAAAGGAGATAAAAGTATCCTAAAAATCATGAAGGGTCGAAGGAAGTCTTGAGAGGCGTGAAGAAACAAGGCTTGTATACAATTGAGGTTGAAGTTGTAAGTGGTTCGACAAATATTGCATCCATGAAACCTTTCTCGAAGATAGAAATTTGGCACATGAGATTGGGCCATGTCAGTGAAAGGAGTCTGGTCAAATTAGGGAAACAAAATTTGCTTGGTGGAGACAAAGTCGAAAAGCTGAAATTTTGTGAACCCTGTGTACTTGGAAAATCTTGTAGAGTGAAGTTCAACAAAGGCAAACAAAGAATATATGGATCCCTTGATTACATCCATGCTGATATTTGGGGGTCTGCAAGGTGTCAATCACATTCAGGAGCAAGGTATTTTCTATCTATAGTAGATGATTATTCTAGAAAGTTATGGATATTCATCCAGAAGACTAAGGATGAAACTTTTGAGAATTTCAAAAGTTGGAAGACTCTGGTCAAAAATTACACTGGCACAAAGGTCAAGAGGTTGAGAACCGACAATGGTCTTGAATTTTTTAATGAGGCTTTCAACTTTTTTTATGCTACTTCTAGTATTGCAAGGCACATAACCAATGTACTCCACAACAAAATGGTTTGGCTGAAAGGTTTAATCAAACTATTTTGGAGAGAGATAGATGTATGTTGACTAGTGTTAGGTTAAAGAAGGTGTTTTGGGCTGAGGCTGTTTCGACAACAACATGTATGATAAACAGATGTCTTTCGATTGCGTTAGATATGAAGACGCCTGAAGAATTTTGGTTGGGACATCCACCAGAGCTCGACAAACTGAGAGTATTTGGCTGTGTAGCCTATGCTCACATTAGGAAAGATAAGGTCGAACCTAGAGCTCTGAAATGCATGTCCATGGGACACCCTGAAGGAGTCAAAGCTTATAGGATATGGTTCCTAGAGCCAGGTCACATGAGGATTATCACCAGTCGAGATGTAGTTTTCAATGAAGTTGAAATGACTTTAAAGAAAACTGATGATGTTGATCGAAGTGCAAAAATATCTGACAAAGAGCTGGAACAAGGAGAGATTCTTGTTAAGGTGGAGCATGTTGATGCTGAATTGCGTATCCAAGATAAAGTCTAAGAAGAAGCAAAAGATGTTGAGGAAGTTGAGGAAACTATCGATCACTACCTATTGACAAGAGATAGAACGAGAAGAGTCATCAAGCCACCTCAGAGACTTGGGTATACAGATCTTATAGCTTATATATTAATCTTTGCAAGTGAGGTTCTAGACGAAGAACCTATAAGCTATAAGGAAGTTATGAGGAGTCAAAAATAAGACTGAATGGATGAAGGACATGGATGATGAGATGAAATCTTTTCATGATAACAACACTTGGGAACTGATCAAGAAATCTGCTGGAGCCAGGTTAGTCAGTTGTAAATGGATTTTCAAAGTTAAGGAAGGAATCGAAAAAGTGGCGTCAAAAAGATACAAGGCAAGGTTGGTTGCAAGGGATTTCACTCCGAAAGAAGGTGTCGACTTCAATGATGTGTTTTCTCCTGTTGTGAAGCACAGGTCCATTCGAATGTTGCTTGCCATGATGGAACAGTTCGACCTTGAACTGGAACAAATGGATGTGAAGATTGTGTTCTTGTATGGTGATTTAGATGAAACAATTCTGATGAGGCAACCTGAAGGGTATGTCGAAAAGGGAAAGGAAGATTACGTGTGCAAGTTGAATAGATCTTTATATAGGCTGATACAATTTCCTCGATAATGGAATAAGAGATTTGACAGGTTCATGACACACATAAGTTTCATTAGAAGTCAGTTCGACCATTGTGTTTATTTCAGATTTTGACCCGGTAATTCATTTGTTAATTTGTTGATTTATGTTGATGATATTCTCATAGAAAGCAACAATGTCAAAGATGTAATGAGGGTGAAGGCTGAACTCAATAAGGAGTTCAAAATGAAGGATCTTGGAGTTGCATCCAGGATTCTTGGGATTGACATTCGAAGAGATAGAAAGTAGTCGAAATTATGCTTATCTCAAGATGCATACCTACGGAAGATTCTTGACAAGTTTGGTATGTCAAATTCAAATCATGTTGTGACTTTAACAAACACTCAATTCAAGTTGAGTATCGATCAGTGTCTCAGTACTGAGGTCGAAAGAGCTTATATGAATAGTATCCCATATGTGAATATAGTAGGTTCTTTGATGTATGATATGGTATGTACTAGACCCGACATAGTATATGCAGTAAGTCTTGTAAGCAGGTACATGGTGAATCCTGGAAAGACTCACTGGCAAGCATTGAAGTGGATTCTAAGGTACATAAATGGGTCTCTGAACAGAGTCTTAATTTATGGTGGAGCCTTGAGTGAAGATAGTAAAGCAGTAATCGAAGGGTATGTCGACTCTGATTATGCAGGTTGTATGAATTCCAGAAAATCTATTTCTGGATATGTTTTCACTATGTTTAGCATAACAATTAGTTGAAAAGCAACACTTTAGAAGGTTGTTGCTTTATAAACCACTGAAGCAGAATATATTACCCTCACTGAAGCTGTGAAAGAAGTATTGTGGCATGAAGATTTTGCTAAGGAGCTTAAACTTTAAGGTCGAGTTATCACTGTTAAATGTGATAGTCAAAGTGCAATAAACCTGTCGAAGAACTCAACCTATCATGAGCAAACCAAGCACATCGATGTTATGTTACATTTTGTCAGAGGGGTAATTGAGCATGGATAAGTCCAAGTGCTGAAGGTTTCGACAGATCACAATGTTGTTGATATGATCACCAAGACATTGCCAAGTTACAAGTTTTTCCACTGTATGCATTTGATAAAATTGCACGAAGAAAGCTAGTTTGTTCTTTGATATTAGAGTTTGTTCCAAGATGGAGATTTGTGAGATATTGGATTGAACTCTATTGAGTTGAATAGTAGCTTCTGGTTAGACAGGATTTATGCATGTCGTCGAAGTATGCTCACATGCTGATGTCGAAGACCCACATACTGTAGTCGAAGTGTGTTCTAGTATGTTGGTGACGAAATGCTAGGGTTGTTAGTATTTCGAATTGGGCTTGTTTGTTATGTCCAATTGTTTAAGTTAGCTTGTACCCTAAGTTAGCTTGTAATGGGTATTTTTGAAAAAGTCTATTAGTTTAGTATGTTAGGTTTATTATAAATAGCACACTAATATCTCATCATTGCATACAGCAAATCCTAGTTTAGGGTGAGAGGGTTATTTGTTATTCTTGTGCACTTGTAATCTTGTTTGAAGAGAAAGTAAAGAATAACAGTTAATAATCAATCCTTGTTGCTCTTCGTGTTTTTCATTCTTTTTCTATCCTTGGGGTTTCTTTCCTTGAAGAACCCTGTTATACTTTGTTTCAAAGGTATCGTGTTTCACAACAGTTATATTATACATTTGTCACAAGTATACACTAATCAAATCGTTTCTTTTCTTAAAATAAACATATATTTCTAAAGTAAACACGTGAGCTAATGTATTGACAACTTAATAATTTTTCATGTCATACAATTGTTCTTTTATTTTAAGTTTTTTCAACCAACACATGTATTTAAAAACGTATTAACTAAAAACGAGAATTAAGGGTTCTCGAACCTGATTACAACAAAAGCACGAGATCAAAAACTCAGCAAGAAGAAAAATTACAAACCAAATCGAAATTACGATAAGTAAAATAAATGATCTTTGTTGAACTCGTAAAAATTACAATTGGGATGAGTAATTTCACCAATAAAATATCACTTCCAAACCGTTGCCTTAAGCAACCAAAGATTCCATATTATTGTCAACCAAATGCAACCCGCTTTATGCTTTTTCACTTTTTTGCCTCGCAAAAGTTGAACCAAGACATAAAGCTTCATGTAATACTATCTTCTCGAAAAACCAATTCACTCCCTTAACTCCCCCTAAACCAATTTTGCAATCGGACAAGACAAAAAAAGAATGAACCAAAATTTCCTCCTCGCTCTCACACAAAATGCATAAAGAATGATTAGAAAAATTAATACATCTAACCTTCAAGAGATCCTTCGTCGAAATTCGATTAATAAGAGTTCTCCGACCAAAAACATTAATCTTGTTCAACATCTAATTTCCAAACAATTTGATGAACCTTGTCAAAAATGTTGCTAGGACCATAGAGAATGTGAGTTCCTGCATAAAGAGAATAACAAGAGATGACAGAATATAAATGGTCCTCTTCTAAATTCCACAAAAACTGATCCCTTCCCTCCAAAGAACAACCAGCGCCAAAAATAATAGCCCTCAACCGAAGCGCCTCAGCAGCAATAACAGGCTGCAGTACCGCTGAATTGGGAAGTCTGAAATTCCCCCAAACCGAGTCGCTACCATCCCAGCTCCCCATTCCCGCGATAGATACCATATCAACAGGCAAACAATTATCGTTCCACCAAACCCAATGAATCCTTTTTCTTTCCTCCGATCCTCCTCACATGGATCCTAGTAATTATTATTATTATTATTATTATTATTATTATTATTATTATTATTATTATTAAATTAATCGCCCCTTCATATTCAGGTTGATTAATTTCAAGTAACCTTGAGCATGAGGTTGAAAAAGGCAAAAAGATTGAAATTTATCAATAAGTTTTGTTCCAAAAAAAACACTTATCGATAATTCATATATTTTTCTTCATCTACATAATGATGATGGTCACAGTCTCACAGAATTAATGTACAAAAGTGAAAACTGAGACATAAAGAAATGCTCCAAAATGTTTCTTTTTTGCAAAGTTATGTTATGACCCTTTACTCCTATTTCATCTATTGAGTAAGAGGAACACATTCAAGTTCAATTTCAAGCACACCTCTCTCAACATTTTGTAGCCTCAATGAGATTTCTTGTCTCACTTTTCCTTCTTCAAGTGAGATTATTCCATCTTTCACAAGTGTGTTGTCACCACTTGCTACCCATTTTCCAAGCTGCATTGACTCATTGATTGATGATTTCTCATATGCTTTTGCTGCTGATACTAGTGGTTGAATGTCTATTTCAGCCTCCCCCATAAAATCATCATTTTTGAATGCATCTTTGTCATATACAATCTGCATGCAAGTATGTATCACATCAAATCTTATCAAAACTAGGCTTTGATATTGTATCTAGCACCTAACTTCAAGTGTAAGTAATTTATGATCGTATACATTTATGTAAAAGTGAACTGAACACAATATTCAAAGCTTAAAATCAATTCTAGAAGCAAAACCTCTCAATTCTAACTTCAAGTTATAATCAACTTTTGAGACAGAATCAATTCTACTTGAAAAAATGGTTAACAATTGGACTTACCACTCTAAGAGGAGGAATGCTCTCAGGAATTGACAACATTAGGCTTTCATTCCAAACTGGATTTAAATTGTTCTTTATGACACGCGTTTTCACCGACTGCAAGACCAGATATTAAAAATGTTACATATCTAACATTAAATTTTCCTCGCATGCATGACGAAAAGTAGTTGTGGAATTTGGTTGCCTTTATTAAGCAACAACACACATTCATGTCGTTAGCACATCGGTGATTGTTTGATCAAAATCTGCATTGAAAAATCTAGATGGACTGATCTAGATCCAATGACCTCTGATGTACCGAGTGCATGAATGCATGAGAATTTAGTTTGTGACTTGAAGAGGAAACTCACTTGGTTACCAAGGGAAAGGATGACATACGGGTCACTAGTCACTATATCTCTGATAGCTAGGTTAGTGCCTTTAACCACATTAACTTTTACCAGTCCAACAAATTCAACCATACCTGCCTATAACAGTAAATAGGAAGAAATAACATTCAATACTTATCATGTTCACTCATTTTTCTATTGAGAATAAGGTACAACGAGGTACTTTTCGCATTAACTGCGTTCAAAAGAAGTTGAATGATAGATCTTGCAACATTACCAATGAGGTACTCTTCTTTGTAGTCTTACTCTCGGAATCTTTTCTTCCCCAGCTGTTTCGAAACGATAGCCCGATACGGTTTTTAGTTGTTTGTTTATCATAACGTTTTTTTTCTGGTAGAGGAATGTTGTTTGAGGAACTGCTCTGACCGGATGAAGAACTTCTTCCATGGGATGGTATAAAGGGACAAGACAAATTCTCCTCAGAATCCAAAAATTGTAGGAACTCGTATTTTCTCCTGAAAATAAAATTAAAAGAAATTATTAAACGCAATGGTATCCTTCGTCTAGATAATACAAATTGGTTGTGTGTATGTGTGTTTGTGCGTTCATGCATGTTTTTTATCGAGTTACCTAATAAAATCAGAGCGCTCGTCGATAGATGAACTCGGTTTTGGTTTTTTTATGTAAGTTGGCAAGCAAGCTTCGTACTTCTTATTGATTACTGTATTTCCACCCAAGTTGACCAATGAATCAACTTGTTCATCTGTCCATTCATCTAGATTCAGTGACAGAACCTATAATAATGTCAAATCATGTTAAAATTTCCATTTGAGAATTTGCAAGTAAAATTTGGATCTATGAAACACAGACACCTGACACGACACGGACACATCAACACCGGTAATGATTTGAAAAAAATGAATAAATTGAACGTAATCACAAGTGTTGGTGTCATGTCAGTGTCCGACACAGACACAGACACGCCTTTTTTCCAGAGGTGTCGGTGCTACTTAGGTTTGGATTACTTCTTTTTTATTCATGAAGAAATATAACCTTGGAAAGGTACAAAGACAAATGAACCATCAAATAACAAGAGTTTTACGAAATTTATGTTTGGAACGTACCTTAGATATATGGACTCCAAGACTTCTATGTATACCAGAACATTTGATGCAAATAAATACTCCAAGACTTGAAGACCTGATATGCAAACAACGTGATAAATAAAATCATAAGCAAATAATATGAACTAATGAGCTTTACAAGTAGGATAGATAAATCACACTAAGAGTCTGTTTGATTGACTTACTTGGGCTTATCTATCGGCATAAGCACTTGATATACTGAATATAAGAGATTATGAAAACAACTTATGACGTGTTCATAAGTTGTTTTTCAGCTTATTTCCATAAACACTTAGATGAAAACAATTCTATTTTATTTTATCTTTTGTTATAGAAATATATTATAGACAAGTATATATATGATAAGCGCAGAACTCGGTGGTACTTACACCCATTTTGGATCTGATGATCCACAATCAGCGCAGTACTTGTTCCCAGCTTGACGCATCAGATTGTCTAATCTTTCTTGTGGACCTAGTGAATGGGAATGTGCACAAATAGTATAAGTTAAAAGATGAAATTAGGGAAGCTATACGATGTTTTCCAAAAACAGATAATTTCAAAAAGGTAAAATACCAGATATCATCCATCGCTCTCTTTGACTTTGAGAATTCAAACTTGGTGTTTCAGTGCAGAAGAGATCATATAGGCAAGATCCTGACCCTACAGTTGAGACATTTAACTTTTATCGTTAGACTGCCATAATATCACTTTACACTACGATTTGTGAAATTGTGAGAATGCGTCACTTTGAAGTTTGAAGTTGCTTTTATATCTTCTCAACCATGGATTGGTAATCATAAATATGTTTAATCCAAATAAAAGAAGACGGGTGAAAAGGAAAAAGTTGATAAAACTGTTGTATCTTATGAAGAAAGTATGACACAGATACGGATACCAGACACAACACGGATACGGATACCAAACACAACACAGATACGGATACCAGACATGACACTGATTGTGAGACATAAACACTTATGATAATTTAAAAAAAAATAGAAGTGATTGAGTATAACCACAAGTGTTGTGATCGTGTGTACACGCCTTTAACCTGAAGTGTTCGTGCTACAAAGGTTCTAACATACGAATGACACTATTCTTCATGTTCATATTATCAACCATTTATTATATGACTTTCGGGGGCAACGAAAGAGTATGAAGCAAAAGGAATAGAAAGTTTTTACCTGGTATACCATTGATATCAGAATTTTCTTGATGTATTTCCATCTCCATCCTCAAAAACTTGAAATCAAAATCAAGGAATGGCACTATAATCTGAAAACAGCCATGTAATTATCCACTGTTTCGCTGCACCGAGATAAAAAGGGTTCATCAGCATCACATATTTTACCTTGATCATCAAGCAATTGGAAAATTCATAAACATAGAAAATTGCCAATTAGGTTTGAATCAAGAAAAACAAATTTTCCACAAGAAAAATCTTACAGATCAGATGATATATTTCCTCAACTTGAAATTAAGCATGAGCCAATGTCAGCTTATTCTCTGCAACAACAACAAAAAAAACAAAAAAAAACATATTTTATCAAAATCAAAAACCTAGAATTTTTTTCATTGAAGAAACCTACAATAAGCTAGAAAACCTAGAATTTTTTTCAAATCAAAGTCTTTGATGAAATTGATACATGATTGATAACAACCCCTTGAACAATGAAGATAAAAGCCTGAAACTTTGAAATCAGAAAAGGGAATTGAAATGCAGAATCATGAAAATCTTATACAAAGGGAAATTGAAGATTTTGAATTTGTTGTGATTATGATATGATGAATGTTTGACTCACCAAGGAACATTGATGTTCAGAGAGATGTAGTTTGAACGCGCTTACATGGAGGCGTGTTAAATCTTGTACATTACAATTTGATGGTGTTTTAACAACACACAGATTGATTTCATCAATTTCTCAACTATAACCTATAAATAGTATTTTTCGGTTTGTTTTTCTTTTATCTTGTCAATACAAAAATGCATAAATATTTTTTGAGAAAGTTTCATTAGGTTAAAATCTTGAATTTTTTATAATTATTTAGAGTGTATTTAAATTTTGGATGATTTTATTTTATAGTTCATAATTTGAAAGATTTTTTTGTGTTTAGATATAAAAGTAAGCTAGAGAACTCCGCTAACGGATTGTTAAACGATGATGGTGTTTGGTTGAAATATTTGTCATTGGTTTTGGTGGAGGGAATCTGCAAAGTATATGTAAATATTATGATGCTTAAGTCAATGACAGTCGTGAGTGTGAGATTTTTAGGATATATGTTGTCACCCAATCAAGCTATAAGTGTGTATTGGAGAGGGTTGATGTTGTCAAACCCAACCAAGCTATAAGTGTGTATTAGAGAGGATCGATGTTGTCACTCAACTAAGTTTGGGAGTTTCGAGGGGGATAGGACTTGTTGAAGTTGAGGATCAAGATTTTCAATTAATCAAGTGTATGAGCTTAGATATGGGATCCAACTTACTGAAGTTGAGGGTCAAGATTCTCACTCAACCAAACCTAGAAGCTTGGTGAGAGGATTCAACTTACAATCATGCATAACAAAAACATGTATCATTCAAGATGGAAAATTGTAAGTAAATATGTAAATAAATTTGTTAGTTGTGAGGAAGCTAAATTGATCTATGTGTTTTAATTGGTTAATATTGTTGAATGTAAACTCATTAATTATGGGTATGTGAATCCTTTATTTTGCATAAGGGCCTTGAAAAGTGATTGCCATGTCATTCTGTTAGAAGTTATAATTCAATATTTTGTATGCAAGATAGTATTCGACAAACACTGTGTTAGAATATGTTGAAGTAGTTGTATTTGGTAGGGTAGAATACAACATATAGTTGAGTGTGTCAAAATATACTTTGTATGTTTTGGGATTGGGTAACTATTGGGCCTGGGTTGTAAAGTTCTGGCCAGAGCCTTGATCGCCTAAAAATAGGCATGCTGTTGTAATAGTTTTATAATTGCACACTTAACAACTTTAGTAATAACAACTTCAAAAATTCAGTTTATAGTTTTCTCTCTTTTCTCTCTTCTTCTTCTTCTCTCATCTTTATTTAAAAACCCTAATTGTTCCAATAAATTGGTATCAAGGAGCCTAGATTTTTATTCAGAGAGATTATGTAATGGCAAACGGAACAATAACATCAACATAATTTCCAGTGAATCTATCAATTTTCAAAGGTGAGAACTATGAGAGATGGGTTGCGCAAATGAAGGTCATCTTTAGATTTTAAGATGTGTATGAAATCATGAAAGATGGAGTACTGATATTAGAAGCGAATGCAGACGATGTTCTGAAAGCTGCACACAAGGTTCAAAGGATAAAATATGGAAAAGCTTTGTTCTTGATTCACTAGTGTGTGGATACTAACGTGTTCGAGAAGTTCATTGAAAAGGAATGGCTAAAGGAGCATGAGATAAGTTAAAGAACTTGCACGATAATCATGGTTTCTAGAGCCTTCGTCTCACCTTCTCGTTCAATATTGGGGAGGTATTATGTAATCAGAATTTCACGAGTATACCTTCTACTGGCGAATCTAGTTTCCCCTTCCTCGAAAAATCTCCCATAAATAATGTTGAGCATGTGGCGCACGACTTTGCTCCCCTTGCCCTAGGATGTCTCATTTTCCTTGTTGGGTCTGGGGATTCCTACATTGTATCTCCAATAAGAACTGGATTTGTTTGGTCTGCGAGAGGAATATCCCTTAACATACTTCTTGAGGTGTTCCTCCTAGATAAACCTATCGATCTCTTTCTTGAGAGGGTAAATCTCCTTAGTGCCATGTCTTTTAACCCTATGGAATTTGTACCATTTTCCTGTTCAAGACCCACCACATCTTCCTTTGGAGTTGAAGGCATATGAATGTTGTACAGGTGAAGAACCTTGCCCAAATTTGTTAACAGCGAGTGTTCAGAGGCGTAAAGCTCTTTGTCGTCTTGCATGTTCTCTTGACCGCGATCTTGTCTTTAATGGGAGAGATATGATGACTCTTTCTCTAGTGGTATGTGTAGCGGTAGAAATGTTTAAGACTAAGCCATTGGATTGACTAGACTTATACAGATTGAAAATAAAAATCTACACTGCGCTTTATTGTTTCCAAAGGAATGGGAAAAGAGCGAGTAACCCAAAAAGAGGGGGAAATATTCAAGGTAAGGGGGTTGGTTATGCAAAGGGAAGGTATTAGCACCCTAAACATCTACGGCACTCCGCATGAACCTCTTTGTAAAATCTGCATATTTTGGCTATAAAATGTTGTATGAAAAATAGATGTTGGAGGTTAGAAAAGGAGTATTATTTTTTTTAATGATTTTTGCACCCACCGCGGTTGCGAACCTTTAGTGCCTACGTACCACCTTTCGTGCAATAGGGGATCAGGGTACACGTAGTTCACCTTTTAAAAAATTTTAAAACACAAGTGTGTTGGTTAATTTTATGAGATAAGACATCGTTGTCATTGTCCGTGTGGAAAAAATACTTACTACCCACAATCATGAGAAAGGAGAATTTGCATCATCTCAAAGTGGAGGATATGACTTGGATTTTAAAATCAACAATGCCTCACTCAACACCCAAGTGGAAAATATCTCTTTTCACTATATATTGTAGAAGTATAGTCGTTTGCATCACTACAAGGATTGACAAGAGTCTAATCTTTTGAAAAAGGTTTTAAAATAAAAAACCAAAGTGGCAAAATGGTTTGAAATGATATTGATTTACTTTTAATCTTCTCACAAAAAATTTCAAGGTATTATTAAATTAATTGGAGTTTATTTATGAAAAATATTTTGAAAATGCATGGACCTAAGTCCAAGTTTATTATGAAAATGGTTCAAGTTTCGAAACAAGAAGAGTTTTCAAAAGGAGAGAGAAGATTTTTGAAATTAAAGAATATGGGAGGAGATGAAGGGACTATCCTAAAGCATAAGGTAAAAGATAAGGAGAAGAATCATCTAACCAACAAGAAGTCAATACTTGACATTATGAGTCATGATAGAATTCTTATTCTTTGGATTGAAACCAAGCAAGCAAAGATACTAGACCTCTTGAGAGAACCAAACTTCAAGTGTATTAAGTCTTCACAAAAATTAGGCAGAGTAACGGTTGTATACGGGTGAATTCCATATTACAAATAAAGTATGTAATCACAATAACCTGCACACAAAATAAACAAACAATCCAATGTCTTGAGGTAAACTCAATAACTCCAAACAAAATATCAATTAAGGTCACAAGGTCTCCAACATATGCCAAGGTTTCTAATCCTAAGTTCAAGAAGTTCAATACTCCATAATGCCAAGGATAGTAACCAAATAGTCCAAGTATCATTAAAGTATTTTATGGTTCATGTTGATTATTAGGTGTCTTAAAAAAAGCTCAAGTGAGCAAAATAAAAATGACAAGAAAGTAAATGCTCAAGTGACCAAAGATGAAAAATAACATGAAATGTAAATGCTAAAGTAAATGGTGCATAAAATAAAAGAGCATAAAATAAAAGCATAAAATAAAGTCAATTGTTAGAAATTAGTGGTTAGTTGGATGACCATCTTGAAACTTGCATTTGGAACTCATTAGAGGATTGGTAGAACCAAAGCCTCCACACAACAAGTTGCATTTGCTTTTTGTCAAGTATATCATTCATTTTGGAATCATCAAAAGTAACATTTAATGGTCAACGATATTTAAGTGATCCGCGTTGACCAAAAGTGATGTAGATTCATTAGAGGATTGGTAGAACCAAAGCCTCCACACAATGAATCTCAAGGTTATTGGATCAAAGAGATCAAATTATCATACTTGGGCTTGCAAACATAGGTTTGGACCACGAATGATCATTTATTCGAATATGGACAAAATTTAGCGCTATGTTAAGCAACCGTAAGTGGACTTATATAGAAGTCGCGCCTATTTTGAGGCCGGTCAATAACAATCTATGCACCATTTATTTTGAGACATGATATATAGATCATACTCCAATAACACTTAGTGCAATAAGAAAGGGATAATATAAAAAAAGGGTGGGAAAGAATATACAAACTATTTTTGAATTAAAATTTAATCAAACTATTATTAAAATCATTCATCCATTTTTATGGAGTTAGACTCAACACCATGGATCCAATGATATTAATAAAGTTCATGATCAAAAATTCAACCCAAGATCAGCCAGAAAATAATACAAAATAATATTACATTTAATATATGCATTAAAAAGG